GGTGGCATGTGGCACGTTGGCAGTCGCACGCATGTGTGTGAGCCGGCGCCAGAGGCTCTATGATGCCTCTGAATTTAATAACCTTTCAATAATTTACCGCTGTTGAGGAGGAAAGAAAGGACGAGTGAAGAGAAAAAGAGAGAGAGAGAGAAGGGGGGGACCAAATAATTAGATGGGAGACAAAATGGAGATGCGAAAGAAACGTGGAGCTCTAAATACTATCAGGGGAATCAAGCACCTATTTTTTGAGGGTTCACTAATGGCAGTCTTGGCTATAGTGCCAGTCATGGAATAAAGAATAATTAAAATGTTCAATAATAATGTAAAATAAGCCAGTACTTTCAGTGTTGATTTCTGTAAGTTATATTGTTACTTCAATAGGTGGCAACAAGTGTCTTTATGAGTGAGTCATTGAATTATTTACTCAAGCAGTTGGTTCAAAAACACTGATTCATTCAGGAATGTAACAAGTGAGTGAGTTATTGAATCATTTACTCAAGTGATTCATTCAGAAACAGTGATTTATTCAGGAATGTAACAAGTGAGTGAGTCATTGAATCATTTATTCAAGTGGTTCATTCAGAAACACTGATTTATTCAGGAATGTAACAAATGAGTGAGTTATTAAATTATTTTCTTAAAGGGATCATATGATGCGATTTCAAGTTTTCCTTTCTCTTTGGAGTGTTACAAGCTGTGTGTGAATAGAAAAGAGCCCTAAAGTTGCAAAGACTAAAGTCTCAAACCAAAAGAGATATTCTTTATAAAAGTTAAGACTGGTCCACGCCCTCCTAAAACAGCTCGTTCTAACACGCCCCCACATGTCTACGTCACGATGTGGGAAGATTTGCATAACGCCGCCCAAATGTTCATGCAAAGAAAGAAGGCGTAACTTTATTGTTGCTGCCGCCGTCATGTTGCAGAGACGCTGTGTGTTTCGTTGCGAAAGCGAAACTACTTTGTTTGGCCATTCAGAAACACTGATTCATTCAAGAATGTAACAAGAGAGTTATTGAATCATTTACTCAAGTGATTCATTTAGAAACACTGATTTAACACTGATTTATTCATTCATTCATTACTGAATCATTCATTAAAGCTATTTGTTAAAAAAAAAATAGAATTATTCAGTATTGTAATAAGTGAGGGAGTCATTAACGCACATTTACTTAATTTAAAACAACTGATTTACTCAAGTGAATTATTCAAAAACAGATTCATTTAGAATTGTAACAAGTGAGTGAGTCATTGAATCATTAGACTGATTGGTTCAAAATACTTATTCATTTAGGAACGAAACACTACTTATACATGTTTGGTTTGGCTTCATTTTGAACTATTTTCATTCACAGAGCAAAATTAGACAATGTAAACTGCGAAATTATATCGAAAATTGAAGTTACTTATTATGAACTTCTTGTTCATTGAACTATTGTATAAAATCGTGCTTTTGGTCTGAATATCAGTGCAGCTGTGATTACCTGCAGACAAATCACATGATATTCAGAGCAACAACACTCTTGCTCATGTGATACTTCTTAATTGATTTGATGCAGAGGTCTGTATGTTAACTAAACACTTACTTTTAGTCCACAGTCATCAGTGGATCTGCAGGTGTCCTTTATAGAACGCAGCGTGTGTGTGTGTGGATGTGTGTGTTTGTGTGTGTTAACGCTCCCCGTGTTTTGTCAACTGTTCGCAGGACAGATGCTCTCCTTTAATTAAACGGATTGAGGGGGTTAATTAGAAGAACAGAAAAGAACAACGAGGGAAGAGAAGAGAGCTGCTGTTTCTCCTGTGGTGCTGATTCAGCTTTGCCATCTCTCTCTCTCTCTCGCTCATTACAGATATGCGCTGTAGGCACAATCATTCTGCACATATGTAACTATGAGAAATGTGCATCTTACTCACGTTCTACATGGACAGGATGAAGATTTTAATTAATATGTGTCCTAAAATGGACGGTAATAATGGGATTTCTTGGTGTACTTGCAACATTTGATTAATGAAGCAAACTAAAACGCTTATATGGGCATTTGTGTTTCAGATGGTATTATTGCTTTTCTTGGCTTTTGTTCTCTTGTAGAAGCTTGGTCTCTGTCTCTCTCTCGTAGTGACACTGATCCACTGAGTCTTGATCTTGCTCTAACCTGCTGTCCCAAAATCCCTTTACTGCCCAGCTCAGCATCTTGCATCCTGGACCCACACAATCTGTCTGTACACACATATACAGTCAATCACACGAATCTTGTGTGTATGTATGTGCCTTCAAATGTTAGCTAAACAGTTCCAGTGTGTTGCTCTTGTAGACAGAGAAGTAACTACTCTGAGCCAAGGAGGAAATGTGTTGCAGGCATTTTTTAAATACTCAGTATCCTCGTTTCCTCTCTTCATCTACCCCTAGTGGACATAAGCACAACTGCAAATTGCCTTCCATCAGTCGTCTTCCTCTGATTGTCCTCTCAGCATGCACTCCTGAATGTTTGTAATGAAAGAGAAAAAAGCTTTTTTTGTGCACTCTAAAAAGGCTTATTTTGTGTGCTTTATCCTTGAAACACAAATCTGAAAGGTCTGCTTCATGTGTGTAGTCATAAAGAAAGATGCTTGCATGTATACACAGGCATTAACATATTTATTTAATGTTCTATAATCTGTCTGGCTTCTCCTGTCAGTCACTGTTTCTCTTGTTCTTTTCTTATAAAAATAAAATAAAACTACAACCACACTGGCAAAGGTCGAGGGTAGATTTTAAATGTTAACCATTTATTTAATTAGAATTTAAATGTGTTGATTACAATATTTATTGGCAAAAACAATGATTATGATAATCTATTTTATATTTTGATATTTCTTTTTACATTTTTTGCTCTTTAATGAATTGTTTTGTTTCACAAATGTTTTAATATTTACATTTTGTTCAAAGGCCTATAGTTCTAACAGCAGATTCTACTGTGGCAACTTACACAGTATGCTGTGTCAACATGCAACATGATTGGTCAACATGTGTTTAATGTGTTTTGTATTTAAATTTTTTTCCTTGTCAAATAATACTGGAAACACTCAAAACCTTGGAAAAAAGCTTGAAAGAGTCATTTTATTATTATTATTATTATTAAATTTTTTTTTCTATACCAACAGTTTTGTTGTAGTAACAATTAACAATGGTTTGTCATGGTTAATGGTTTTAGCCTATTACGTATTGAATAGGTTACCATTTTACTGGTAAAATGGAGGAATTGAATGAGTCTTGAGAGGAGTGTGTGAGTGAGTGGGGATCAGAAACGAAGGGGGAGATGCGTTAATGCAGCGTTTTTTATCTTCATTTAATAATTGAATAATAATCTCCCTGGAGAAGTGACCTAGAACTGAAGAAAATAAATTTATATTCATTTGGCATCTAAATACTGACACCTCCCGGTCAGTCGTTATTACTGCAATAACCCACTGAGTTTCACTCCATCCTCTCGGTGTCTACTGCTGTGACATTGACAAACGAGTGCAGCGAAGAAGGGACCGCAGCGGGGATTTGAATTCTGACACTTGCACTGCAACTTTTCCAGCCTGCAGTATGACACTTCCCGCGAGAGCTGCATTCACTCGGCGCAAACGCTCCTCGTTGTTTATATACCATACGTTACGCGCGTTTTCATCAGACTCCGTCTCGGACTGGTGAGACTCATTGTCAATACAGCTGCGCACTGGAGCGGTATAACAATATATTACTACAGGTCCCAACACAGCCATCACTCGTCTCTCGCTTCTTCATGCTCACCTTCATTCTATCTCACAGGCCCGAGGGAGCTTCCCCCGAAATGCAAATGTCTGATACAAGCTTGTACTGATTCTGCCTGAACTTCAGCCGAAGAAAATGCATCCATAATCACGTGAAAACTTATTTTGTCCTCCTTTAACCTTGAAGGAAAAGAAAAGACCTGTTTGTGTGTTTGCGTGTATAATGATTTTCAACAAAACTACTTGTTTAGTCCTGTGTAATGATAATACTGTAAATGTAGCTACATCAATAATCTAGTGCATGAGCTCCACTCAGATCACTGGATCATTTCCTCTAGGAGAGGTCACTGGGGCTAAGAGGAACTCTTTTTTGCTTTTCATTTTGGAGGAATGTGAAATCAAGGGCACCTGACCTCTTGCCATTTTAAATCAGATGTGCTTGACTGATTTCAAATGTGAGGGCATTTCTAGTTGTTCTCACATTTAGCTTGGCTGTTGGAGAGAGCAAATGATTGTTCTCAGCTGTATCCTTGTCCTCTGGTGTCAAACTGTGTGTTTTCACTGGTCGTCTAAACATTTTGTGTAATTTAAGCATATTTTGCAGCTCTCTGAAGGTGGTAGATAAAGTACAGTATTTGGATGACAGCGCTGTCCTGCAGTTTTATTGCTAACTAAAAATAAAACGAGTGAAAACTATTTTTTCATCAATTAAAATAAAGCTAAAATAAAATATAAATATCAAATAAACCTAAAAAAATTCAAATTAAACTTAAATTAAAATGAGTGAAAGTAACCAAAATTACTACAACTGTCAAAGAGTCAAAAATATTTGTAATAACACAATATTTGTAATAACCCTCGTGTCCTGCAGCATGACAGCAGCCAATACCTCCATCTTATAATTATTAAAATATTTAAAATGAAAACAATTGTTATATTTAAATATTATAGTGTTTAGTAAATATTATAGTTTCTATTTTGTTTTGTATTGTATTGTATTGTTTTTATTCCCATTTCCTATTCTGTCCAATTTTTGCCCAAGGGAAAATTGGAGTACAGGAAACTGGAAATTGTTTTGCAGTTGCTTATATGTAAATCTGTCATGTTTGCCTTTTTTTTTTTGGCTGGACCTACTGTATGCGTAAAGATATGCCAAATACATGTATGTATCTATGCATATATGTATGTATGTATGTATGTATGTATGTATGTCCAGCATTATTTGAGCAATAGTTGACCATCTTTTGTGTGTTTCTTTGTGTCATCAGGCTTCGTAAGGAGGGCTACACGGTGCAGGTGAATGTCAATGACTATCTGGATATCTACTGTCCTCACTACAACAGCAGCCAGAGAGGCGTCGCCGAGCAGTACGTGCTCTACATGGTCAGTTATCGTGGTTACCGTACGTGTGACCCGCAGCTGGGCTTCAAACGCTGGGAGTGTAACCGTCCCCACGCCCCGCACGCACCAATCAAATTCTCGGAAAAGTTCCAGCGCTACAGCGCCTTCTCGCTCGGCTACGAGTTCCACGTCGGGCAGGAGTATTATTATATCTGTGAGTATATAGTGGGCTTTACCTCACCTATACATACTTCCAAGTCTATTGTGACACAGCTTTGTATGTTTTTGTGTTATTATACATGAATCTCAGACAGCCTGTCCAGTACATGTCCACCAAAAACAAAGAAATAAGAAATTATGTTCTTCAAAGAAGTTTAGAATAATACATTATTATTTTGCATTACTACATTATTTTTACAGTTAAGCACATCATCCCAGACTTTCATAAATGGATAAAATGTGAAAAAGTTATTCGACATCGAAGTACTATTTGTTGCCCTGCCTTTAATATATGTTGACTATAAGTTAAAGGGGTCATATGATGCGATTTCAAGTTTTCCTTTCTCTTTGAAGTGTTACAAGCTCTTGGTGCATAAAGAAGATCTGTAAAGTTGCAAAGGAAAAGAAAAAAAAAATAGAAATTTGGTAAAATTTCTATAAATGTATTATAATAGCTACTGCAATAATGTTACAAACATGATTAACGACAATTTATTGATTATTGCTAATGAGATTATTGGGAGTTTAATAATAATAATAGTAACAGTTGTTATTATTATTATTTATATATTAAAATATTTAGTGCCAAGTACATTAATAATACTTTATAACATATTTTGTCTGAGATTCAACCATTTGTGAATATATAATGTTTTATAATTAAATTACTGTAAGTGCATTATGTATAATAATTAATATTATTATTATTATTACTACGTATAATTATCTGTACGTACACAGTGCTAACACTATGCACACTACTGTATGTGTAGGACCTTTTGCATTCATTATCATATAAGTTACCATAATACAAAACTACAGGCTTTTTTTGTTACTAGATACTGATATTTTTACTTAACATTTCACGGTGTTCTTTGGATGTACAATACTACAGTACTACAGAATATTACAGTTATGAAACCTATTTATGATGATTGACAGATGACTGACATTTTGCTGTTTTGTTTTAGCCACACCCACTCATCACCACGGCCGGAGCTGCCTGAGATTAAGAGTGTATGTCTGCTGCTCAACAGGTATCGACCTCAATCCATCCGTCTGTCCATCCATCCATCATTCCATCATACATCCATCCATCAACTCATCATTTCATCCAACTCTTCTATTTTTCATTCAGTTGATCCACCTGTCAGCCCATTTATGAAGTGCACTCAGTCCGTGTTTCTTTAACTCTTCTATCTGTCTTTCGGAGAATTAAATCAATCCGTTTATGCAGAAAGCACACTCTCTCCCTCTCTTTTCCCACTAGGTTTCACATCTTAATGTTGTTGTTTGGCACTACAGTGATTCCCAACTGAGGGTTACTTGAAAAGATATTGATTTTGCTTTGTTAAACCTGCACTACCATTCAAAAGTTAGCGGTCAGTAAGATTTTTTTTTATTATGATTTTTTTTTTTTGAAAGAACTTTTATTCAGAAAGGATGCATTAAATGCAGTAAATGTTAAGGATTTCAATTTCAAATCAATGTTGTTCTTTTGAACTGTATATCCATAAAATATTAAATCAGCACAGCTGTTTTCAACTTTGATAATAAAAATAATGAATGTTTCTTGAGCACCAAATCAGCATATTTGAATGATCTCTGAAGGATCATGTGACACTGAAGACTGTAGTAATGATGCTGAAAATTCAGCTTTGCTATCACAGGAATAAATAAAATTTTGAAACATATTAAAATAGAAAACAGTTATTTTAAATTCGAATAACTTTTCACAATGTTACTATTTTACTGTAGTTTTTGTTCAAATTAATGCAGCCTTTGTAACCATAAGATCTAAAAAAGTAAAAATCATACAGATGGCACATTTTTAGTGTATATAACAGAATTTGTGACATTAAAATAAAAAAATCTAATTAAATAGTTATAATAAAATTACAATTTAAAATGTCTTACCTAATTGAAACAATATCAAGCTGAATACAGTTAAAAACATACATATATAAGGCTTTTGGAGTATATAAAACAAAAAAAGGTTGGGAAACACTGCTATAACTTGCTCATTCTCTGTCATTTCTTCCCTCTCTTTCTCTCTCCCTCTTCTCTCTTGTATCCAGGTGCTGTCAGGATTCATGTTCTCTCACAGTCAGTTTGCTGCCACTGAGTGTTATTTTAACCCCTCACCCTCTCATTCTGTCAGTGCTCATGTTCATTAATAATATTCCAGTATGCGAGAGAGAGAGAAAGAAAGAGAGAGCATACTGTGTGCTGTCTTAACCTCTGCCCTCTCTCTTGGAGTCTCTGAGTTCTTGTGTCAAGTCGAATCTGCTAGTCCCGCTCAGCCAGGTCTGAACTCCAGTGCCTTGAGTTCAAAGGGCTGATGTATTTATAAGGATGTGGAAAACTACATACTAATGAGCTGATGAGTTGAATCAGGTGTGTTAGATTAGAGAGATAAAATGTGCAGTCATCGGAGGCCTTTGAGACCAAGACTGAGAACCACTGAGCTAAAATAGAATGAAACAAAATGTAGTAGTTTTGAGATGCAGTTTTAGAAGTTGAAATTAATACGCCATCTTTAAAAAACACAACACATGTAATGGGACTCTTAAAGAAGTTTAACATGCAACTTTTTTCTGACGTTTTTAATTTTAGCAAAGTTAAAGCAATACTACATACCAAAGCTAAAACAACAACAGCAATAATAATAATAATAATTATTATTATTATTATTTTCTAAAATAAATAATTAGATTTTTACAGTGCAGTTGTTCTGATGTCAAAACAAATTATTAAAATACGGACAAATTCGCATTTTCTGCTAAGCTGACAAAAAAATCTGTTTTATCTATACCCACTATTGAATTTAACTCAGATTTATTTGTATATCAATTTCACAATTAAAAATATATATATTTTACATTCACAATGAATACATTTTAAATGTTTTTTTTTTTTCACATTTTCAAATAAATGTATTTTTTTCACAATTAATGACAATTATTTTACTTTCTGTTTAACTGGCAGAATATCTTTTTTCTAAGCACTATTAGAGATTTTCAATTCATTTTTTCAATTCAAATTTACTTGCATATCTATTTCACAATACATTACACATTTATTTTATGCTCACAATATTTTTTGTTCCACAATAAATTACATTTTTACTTTCTGTTAAACTGACAGAATATATTTTTTCTAAACACTAGAGAAACATCAATTTAAATTTATTTGTTTATCAAATTCACAATAAAAGAAAAAATTATTTGACATTTATTTTACAATAAATAGTTTTTTACCGCAAAAAAATGCCATTTTCACTTTCTCTCTTTGTTAGCTAGAAAATTAGAAATTCTTACTTCAAATTTATCATTTTTGCTAATATATGTAACTAAAATAAATATTAATATTGTATATTATATTCATTAATTAATAGTATATTTAAAGCAGCTTTTTAAGACCCAACCTGTACTTGAATGTATGTTGCAAATAATTTTTTTTTTTTTTTTTCAAAACTATATGCAGTTTGTTTTTTTGTTTTTTTTACAATTAAAATTAATGGCAGTCAAAAGAATAAAATAATCACAATTAATCATGATTTTCCATAAATGTGCAAAAAAATAAATAAATAAAAACAAATTTTACTGAAACATAATTTTGATAGAAATTTTATAAAATTTTCTTTAGGACACCAGTAAATCCCTAGACCAGGGGTAGGCAAGTTCGGTCCTAGAGAGCCGCAGTCCTGCAGAGTTCAGTCAGAACCCTAATCAGACACACCTGAACAAGCTAATCAATGTCTTCAGGATTACTAAGGCTATAGGCAGGTGAGTTTTTTTTCAGGGTTGGAGCTGAACTCTGCAGGACTGCGGCTCTCTAGGACCGAACTTGCCTACCCCTGCCCTAGACAAATCAGCTGTTAGACAAGTAGTCGACAAGTGGACTATTGTTTCGTGATTCATGTCCCATCCTTTTGCTGTATGTAGCCTGAACCGGGAGCACTAACTACCCCATCACTTTCTCACCGCTGCGTATGACCTAGAGGAGCTTACAAATAAATTCCCAAGTCCTTTGAGAGCATGTATAAGATCCTTCAGAGAGAGGGGAGAGAGTGTGTTCTGATTCTCCTTTCATGTCTTCCAGCATCTGATTCAGATGATGAGCCCCAGCCCACAGAGCCAGACTACACTCTAAGACCCAACATCAAAATCGATGACCTCGGTGAGTTACACACACAACAGACGGACCACACTGACACTTATACATATGCATATAAATCACTGACTAAGTTGACATTTACACCCAAGGTTTCTGTGGCATCCACACGCCTCTTTCCTAGTTACACAGCAAGCTCATAAATCACACGTGTGCGTTAGAGCATATTTATTGTTATAAATCAAATTGGGTAGCAAGTTACAAAAGCCAAATCCACTTCATGTGATTTGAATGTGTAACAAAAATGCATATGAGATCAACTCTAATTTGCTTTTCCTGTGCACACGGCGCACACAAAACAAACACAGCAGTTATCTGCTAACACACATCTGAGTGACACTAATGAAGCCACGAGCTAAAAGGTAAACGGAGCGTGAGCTGCCTGGCTATAGTTAGCTTGATTAGCGCTGAGGCTTGTGTTAGCGCTGATTAGCAGTGGAAGAATTAGCCCTCCAGTTCCCAGCCTTACAGTCACATCCTGCACTTCCTCAGCACCGCCGTAACCGACTCAAGGACAGCGACGACCGCACCATTTAAATGAGAGAAAAGAAATTGATTTGACTTCAAGTGTTTTTAGGGAATAAAGAGGCATCGATCTGTTCATGTTTTTTTTCTGAGCGTGTGTTTTGAGACCGATAGATGTGGATGTGTTTTGGGTCGTCTCTGGGTCGGAGCCACCCAACGATTTCCAATAACTGGAATCTGAGTAGCGGCTCTCTCCCGCTTGCTCTGATCGGGGGTTCAGTTTTCAAACAGGCCAGAGAGGGGAAGAGAAAAACCACAAGAGGCCAGCCGGGTCTCAGGAAGCCACACATCTCGGTACAGCTCCATGCATCTGTGTCCAATAAACAAAAGAAACAGTCTCGTCCTTGCTCACTGCTGTCGCATTAGTATTGACCAACATAAAGTACCAATGGAAATTACACATTTCAAAATTGTACACTAAACTTCTACAAACAAATCAAAAACCGCCACAGGAAACTCTAGAATGCTGCGAGTGCTTTTAAATTAAGTGCTTAAACATTTGTTCTTTTAATAATTTAAATAAAATTGGATTCTGAAGTCGTTAGAAACATAAATTCTCATTTGCAGGATTTTTAATGTCAGTTCTGTAAATCTGCTGGAGCAGTTAGTCCCATTAATGGCAGTAAGTTTCATGCTACAGTCGGAATTCATATTAGGTGCACAAACACGCAGGCAATCACAAATACAGATGCAATAAACACAAAGACAGCTTTTATTTGGCCTTTAGGGATAATACAGAGCAAGAAGATGTGTGTGGCATTGTGCTCATACCATTCTCTTTATAGGCTTTTTTTTTTTTACAATAAAAACAAACCATTTCCTGCTTGTTTTAAGCAATATTGGTTCATGTTGATATCCTAAACTAACAATGAACAATACTTTTACAGCATTGTGTTAATTTAGGATAGCATTCATTTCTCCTTATACACTACTGTTTGGAATCGGTGCAGTGAATAATGTTTTTAAAGGTTGTCTCTTATGTTCACCAAGGCTGCATTCATTTGATCAGGATTTATTTGAATGGATGAAAACAGTTATATTGTGAAGTATTATTACAGTTTTTCTTTATTATTACAACTGTTTTCTGTTTTAATATGTTTATTATATTAAATAATATGTTCATTGTTACGGTTTGGGTGCTATTAAAAGCGTACGACGCAGGAGAAATCCAAATAACATTCTTTAATGATAAATCCACAGAAGGAATCCAAGAGTACGGGGTAGCAACACATCGACACAACAACAACAAATAGCAGACAAAGAACCAGGGGAGAACACAGGACTTAAGTACTAATAGACAAATGAGATAATTCAGGACAGAGTGACGAGGCGAAGCCAGAGGAGTGGAGTCCCAAGGCGGCGGATGGTCGACAACTGACCAAGGCGGAGCCGGAATGACGAGGGAGCCTGGTGGAGCTGGTGGGATGACGGGCCACGGTGGAGACGAGGGAGCTAGGAGCCAAGGCGGAGCCGACGTGACAGTTCACCCCCTCCCGGAACGGCGCATTCTCGCGCCGACAAAAGCAGTCCAACAGAGGAGGGAGGGTGGGGGTTCAGGAGGCGGGCTGACACATAGGATCCGGAGGGCCAAGGCGGAGCCGAAGGCTCAGGCGACCGAGGCGGAGGCAGGGCTCCGGAAGACCGCGGCGGAGCCGGAGCGACTGAGGATGGAGGCGGAGCCGGAGGGAAGGAGGAGCCTGACAGAGCCAGAAGGACAGAGGGACGAGGCGAAGCCAGAGGAGTGGAGACCGAGGTGCAGGATGGTTGACGACAGACCAAGGCGGAGACGGAGGGTGAGGGACTGAACAGGCACCAGCGGAGATGGGGCTGAGGAACTGACTGGTTTTTGAAGAGGAGGCGGGAGAGGGAGGCTGGGAGGAAACACCGGAGAACAGGAGCTGGGCGGAACCAGCGGAGACGCAGTAGAACTGGGCATTACCCAAACCAGTCTATTAAGTCCATTTGACAAATGTTCATTAGTTCCTCATAATACATCCCAGAGGCCGGCTGCAGCTCACCCTCAGCGGCGGGAGTGTAGGCGGGGCTTCCCTCCAAGCCCTCGATCTCCACCAGTACTCCCTCGGGGACAGGCGATGTTGCCGGCTCACGCACCTCTCCTCAGCGGGGCAGACAGTGAATGGAGATACGTTGTCCTCCAGCACCCACTCCACGAAAGCGGTGAAATCCTCCTTGGGACCGTTCGCTGGCAGGCATGCCTTACACCGCTCGCTCAGGCTGGTGTAATAGAATACACAGAGCGAGCGGTCAGGGAAGTGCATAAGGCACGCCAGATCGAAAAAGTCCCAGTTATGGTCCTCCAGCGAACAGTCCTGTTGCTCCAGGCACAGGAGTAGAACAGCTGGGATATCCATTCCGGGAGAGGGGAGAAACAAAAACAAAAGAGAAAGAAAAACGCTGCTATTATGATACTCAATTTGAGGGTCTGCTATTCTGTTATGGTTTGGTACTAATAGACAAATGAGATAATTAATAAACACAGGTGGAACCAAGAACACAAACAAAAGTCCATAACCGTGACACTTATTTGGTGCTTGAGAAACATTTCTTCTTACTATTTATTTATTTTTTGTTATCACAGCTGAAAACAGTTGTGCTGCTTAACATTTTTGTGGAAACTGTAATACCATTTATTTTTACAGGATTCTTTGATGAATAGAAAGTTCAAAAGAACAGCGTTTATTTGAAATATAATTTTTTTTATTGATGAAAAAGTCTTTACTGTCACTTTTGATCAATTTTGATCAAATCAACTCTTATTGAGTCCAAAGTTTTGAATGATTGTGTATACATTTTTAACATTTCATGTTGTAGAAAATAGCAGTATATATTATAAACAAACTTGAATTAACAGTGAACAGCAGTTTTTTATTGACATTAACCTAGATTACCCTACCCTACTACTTGTGCACAATGCACATTTCTTTATTAAGCCTAATGTCACTATTGATGAGGATTGTATGATCGTTGAATAATATCGGTCTTTAAATGCAAAATATTTAAAGTGTACCTGAAGTATACTTGCAATAGTTACACTTTAGCACAATCAAATATACTTCATTATATCTTTAGCTGGACTTCAGCACTTTCGCACGATTAAAGTGCATTAAGTACAAAATTAGTTGTTCCAATTTAGCAGACTTGAAGTATACAAGTTTAGTATACTAAAAGTACAATTGCAGGGTATTTTTGTTAAGTACATAAATATATAAATGTATTTGTAGTAGTGTACTATGAAATAAATACCTTTCAAATATATTTAAATCTATTTATTTTTCACTAGGGTAATGAACACTATAAAAATCTTGTTCATTGTTATTTCTTGACACTTAATGTTAACCTTATGTTAACCTTTGAACCTTATTGTAAAGTATTACTGTGGTATTCTATGAGATGGAAAGATCTTTGTGTACCGTAATGTAAGATTTGACTTCCCATTCAGGTCATTAATAGGACAAACTTATCAAATTTCTCTGTAATCCATTCTCCAATGGAGAAAAACAACTTAACACTTACATCTGATCAGCTGATTAAGTCACATGACACGGCAGTACTAATTCCTGAAAACTAACAAGCTAGAAACGTCTATTCGTCTGGGTCATGAGATTGTATCTGTGTATGTTGGCACAGAATGTTGAATTCCAGCATGTAAACACCATGTTCCAGAACATCCCACACAGCTTCTCTCTCCTGCCTGCCATCCAAGGATTCCTGTCAATCAAACATTCAGCCATGGTGATAATAATGCACTTTCTTTGCACAGTGTCTTTTAAATTATTAATCTGTCAGATATTATTTAAAACACACACACACAAAAAAGACTATTGAATTTTTTTTATAATTATTAATGTTGAAATCCATTTTTGCTGATAAATATTTCTATGGAAACAATGATACACTACCTTTTTTCTTCCTTTTTTATTTTAAAATGTATTAATATATTTTAAATGAAAATATATTAATACTTTCATTCAGTAAGGATGCATGAAATTGATTAAAAAAAAAAGTGGGCAGTAAAGACATTTATAATGTTACAAAATATTTCTCTTTGAAATAAATGCTGCTCATTGAGCTTTCTGTTGATCAACAAAAAATGTTTTCAACATTAAAGATAATAATAACAACCATTATTAAAAACTGACCACCAATAATAATCAGCATATTAGAATGATTTCTAAAAATCATGTGACACTTTAAAATATATTACAGTAGAAAACGGTTATTTTAAATTGTAAGAATACTTCACAATATTACAATAATCTAATTTATTTATAAATATTATTATTTTTAATGAAAAAATTTGCAGAAAAATAATAATACTAAAACTCATTGTTAAATACAGTTGTAATAAATATTTCTGTAATAAATGGAAAATTAGCACCAGACGTGTCTGGAATAACTGTCACATCTTTTGTCTGTGTGTAACAACATCATATTATTCTGTCAAAACACACAGACATACTGTGTGCGTGTCTGGAGATGTTTGTGGCAGCCAATTTGCGTCACACACTATTCCTTGTGACCTGTAAGTGAAGACGTGTGTTTATGAACTTGTCTATCACAGCGTCCGCGAACTGAAAGACACCTGCTCACAGTCGCAGACACCGACAAACCGGTTTTGTTAGCTGTCCGTCTCCTTTGATGATGTAACAGAATTCCATAGATTATTTGGGCACATCGGACACTCCTCTTGTCATGATAATAGTTACATTTTAGTTTGTTGTGTTCACAATGAAGCCTGTCTACAACTACACATGAACACAGACACCTTCAGTACTGTAGCGAATCAGCTCATGGGAAAATATGAATAATTAATCATAACTAGTTATAATTAATTATAAATATTTAGATCCGCTGTAGATATTTACTTGACCTCTCAGGGTCAACTGTCTGTCAATTCTAATAACGTTAATTTCCTGGTTAAGGGAACATACCTGAGCCACTGCGTTTTATTTTTAACTCCTTCCCTTAGGCCTCAGTTGGTCAGAGGGTTTTCTATACCTTAGTGAGTCACGCAACATTAGTGTCTAGACCTCGGCTGGTAATTTTGTTCTGTCTGTCTCTTTCCAGATGACTACGATAATCCAGAGGTCCCGAAATTGGAGAAAAGCATCAGCGGTAGCAGTCCATCCAGAGATCGCCTTCTCCTAACCGTGGCATCACTTTTCCTCATCGCCCTTTCGGTCTCCTAGCATCCACCTCCTAAACGTCACATACCAACGAGGCCTTGGGGGGTGGGAAGGAAGGGTCCAGGGCCGATAAGTTTGCAGATAAAGACTAGGAAAGCAACGGGAAATGGAACACTTGATGCTGCAGCAGCTTACAGAGTGTCAAGCACCAGCCCACAATTCAACAGTGGTTTCCATGTCTTATAACAGCGACACAATTTGCGTGTCACGCAGACAATACTAATACACCATAATGAGAACTGTGCCATTTCAGTTACAATAGTCCGGATTGTTTGTGTGTGTGTGTGTGTGTGTGCGCTTTTGTGTGTTTATGTGTTTGTGTGGCGCCTTCGGTGCTCGGGGGCGGAGCGGATCTTTACTTCGGTCTGAAGGTTTGATGGCTCCATTATCGGTGAATTGGCAGGTTAAAAGTTTAAAAGCGTCTCGGATTTTGTTTGATGAGAACTGAAATGAAACCGTCGAGGAGTTCAGGTTACTCGAACCCAGGAAAAAAAAACAAGCACTGTTTAATCCAATTCTAAAAGTTTTTGTTTCTCTCTGTGTGTTTCTGTTGCCAGAGAGACGTACAAACCACTGGATGATCATGTAATTGCCGTTAGGGATGAACAGCAATATTAATTTGATGAGTTTAAACAAGTCTATAATAGAAACCGATCTCACAGAGTCGAAATCAACTCATTTTAGACTTTTCTATTGACAAGGCGACAATTTATAAAGCGTTAAAATCCAATTACATCTGATTCTTATTTGAACTTATTGTGGTCGCACTTGAAAGCAAGGGCCGATGTGGTTGTTCTGTGATGCAGAAAATTGAGACAGAAGTGATTTTGCATGAGCGCAAACACAAACGCATTAAAACACATTGAGACAAACAGAAGCCAAATAGCTTTTTTGTTGTTTTTGTTCCTTCTCCCTTTTGATAAAAGGTGCTTGAGTGTGTGAGTGAGTGCAAGCATATGTGTGTGTATTAGCTCAGTGATGCTGGAAAAATCTCCTCTAGACTTTATGGACTTCAACCGGAGGTGGACACCTACACAGACACTGTACATAAAACACTTGCATTTATTTATGTGTGGACATTGTGGACGACCTCCGCTCATTTTTTCAGACCGCGCTGATTCCTGCTGGATTCGGAAGAACTCCAGACCAGCTTTGGCTGGTTTGTTCCAGTTCGAACCGGTTCCACTTATCACTGCTTGGTACTTGACTTCTTTCTGAGGTGATCAGCAAGATCAAATGGAAATTGAGGGGTCTGGTGGTTATAATCCATTTCTACGGCAACAGTTATTCAGCTATACACACCTAAAGGCACTAGAGTCCAGCAGGAAATCAGAACAACACACACGAAAAGAAATAACAGCAATTACTGGCAACGGTTCTGGCGACACTTTTGCCAAGAGTAATACAAGCAAACAATTGCTTCGAGGCAGGTAGTTATTGCCTTCTTGCAAGCTTTTCAAAGGATAAACGGCAGCGTATGCATCAATCATTTTACAACAAGGTTCAAAATTAAGGTTCTAACTCTTTTAGACTGGCACCTTATCACAATGGCAACGACATCATATCATGGCTCACGATGATAGCAGCAACCAGCGCCGCTTTTCACCCTAGAGACAAGCAAATACTGCTTAAACTAGCGATGGCATGTGGTTTAGGAGAAATGATGTGTGGTAGACGTTTTCTAACGTAGAGTCATAATGGACACCTTCTCTCACACCTACAGGCTGTACCTTAACATATTGATAAAGCCGTTTTATTGTATAATTCCGCTTTTGCTCTGAAAAATCATTTCAGTTTATGTGGAACATTACGTCTGCTTTAAATTCCATTACTACGGCTTCAGACAAAGCAACTTCAGAACAAACGAACACTAATTTGAATGCTCGGAATGATACTTTACAGACTTGAATCTACATTTAATTTGTTTCATGTGGTCATTTCGAGGCATTGGGTTGAGAATACGTAGGTTTTTGTGCTTTTGTTTTTTTCGGGAGTTGTTTTTCTGATGGAATAATGTAATATTTCAGAAGAGTCGATCAGGCAAAGTATCACTCTTCAAATGTTGCACTTACAAAAACTTGGACACAAGAATTGTGCGTGTGTGTCTGTTAGAGACTGCAATTGTTAGAAGTTGACGTTTGTCTTAAAACTAGCCTAAATAACCTTTCAATTTTTGTGTGTTTGTGTGTGTGTGAGTATGAAAGAATGAGATCAAAAGGTAATAAAGATAAAAGACGGTGTGAATGTGTGTGTTTATGCGAGTTGTTTTTCATTGTTTAGTCTAGGCATTTTCTGTGTGAGTGGGTGCGAGTCAATGAAACTGTATTGTTTTGGAGGAAACAACAAAGCATTTATTAGTGTTGGAAACAACCGATTGCAATCATGTTTACCTTCAACTGGAATGAATTTAAAGAACTTGAAAAAAGAAACTGTAAACTGAACAAACCATAACAAAGCTTATAATAATAATAATAATCATGATACAAAAACACTAAGCCTTTGATTCATATTTGTTACAGACACAACAACATTTTTTATGAACTCATATGTTTGGGTATTGAAATGTCCTTCTGAATTTGATCAGTCAGTGGAAACCAAAGGACTAAATCTAATAAGAGTACACAAACATCAACTCCCCCTCACTCTTGACTTCCCATCTCCTCATAAATGTAGTTTCAGGTTTCCCACCGCTGTCATCAAAAACAAGCCATACTTTTTCAATCTCGCAATCTCTTGAATTTTGCACACTCCATCATCTCTTTCAAATCTATTATCATAGTGTCAGTTATCTCTGCACAGTGTGTAAGAAGCAAAGGAGCACAAAGATGAAAGGATTACTATCAGAGGCCGACCTGATGCTGGAACCATCTTATCTAATCACTTCTGCATGAAATATTTCTACATATCAAACATTGTGGGACTCAGGATGGATGTCACTTTTTAAAACTGATACCCATCCGAGCATTTTTTACATTCTTTTGTCTGCCAGTGCAAACTGTGAGAACGATTACTATACCTTTTTTTTTTCCCCACAAAACTTTTAAATAACAAAACACATAATAAATGTACATATATCAGTACAATAAAATAATTGCAATTATTCTCATAAATTCCAACCAGTGTTTTAAAATTGAACACGTTTTTAGGCTATTTATTTATTTAATTTCCAGCATAATTTTAGACAAACCTAAACATTTATTTTATGAATTTTTTTTCTCTCAAATTTTCTGTTGACCTCTAGCACCTTCTTGCTGGGTTCCTGGGAATCCCCGGACTCCAGTTTGAAAACGTCTGTCCTAAATCAATGTTTCCCATGGGGTCTGTGGATGCCTAGTGCTTCAGGTGTAATCGCAATGGGTGAATAAAATCATTATAAAAGAGAGATAAGAAGAAAAAGAACAGTAGGCTACATATACAGGCATTTGTAATAATATGTATTTATTTTGTAAATGTAAGAACTGATGATATAGAAAAAGATCTAAAGGTCAAGTAGGATATCTAATTGTATTAGTTCACTACATACAATACCATCAATGAATGAATGGTTTTGAAATATCATATGACAGGGGTCAGTACCCCAGAAAGGGTTATGCAGACTAAAGTTCTAATAATTGTTCTGATTTTGAGAATAAGTCCACACCAAAGCTATAAGGATAAGGGCACCAATCAACGAAGTCTTTGTAACTTAATCACTTCCAGAATATATTTTTTTCTCCAGCTAACGAAAAAATAAATAAATCAGCCAATCAAAATCCTCCCTATTTTAAAAAGCGCGCGAAAAACGGCAACGCGTGCTTAAGAACATGGTCAGTTGGCGCGGATGTTAATCTGTCTCTATAATTATCCATAGTCATCGATTCTGGTGTGAACAGCTTTTAACTTTAATGGTTGCTGAGGAGAAGAGGCAGAACAGATGTTGCTGGATTGAATTACAATAATTTTATTTTTCTCATCTTATTACAGTGGCGCTTGATTCAGCGCGACGTGTCCAGACAAAAACTCGTACATGACTGACGTTCCGTTAATTACTCTGAGGCTCGGCGCCTGAGTAAACCGTCTGAACACACTGCAACAATAACGACGATTGATCCCCAGACACCCGCTGCTTTCTGCTACCGGCCACACAGACGCTGACTTCATCTGCTGTGGGAAAAGGACAAAGACGCCTAGTTAAATCACATGATGGAGCTAATGAGTAAAATCTCCGGTGTTAAACAAAGCAGAGCAGTATAATGGTGTAGACAGACCCAACATCTGAACATCTGTATATGGTGATTGTTAGTTTATGTAGGAAAACCTCAGTAACAAAGATGCAGTGGTTACAAAGTTTCCTCCAAAAGAACATAGTTAATTGGAGGGAGTAAAGAGGAGTCTGTTAGCATTGTTATTCATGTCTATGGGGGTTAATCTCTGGTGCAGGATCTCACAGAAGTACACAACCTGGAGGTAGGCCTAACCGTTTTGGCTATTTCTGCTGTCATGTTATATCCCCACACAACATCCCCCTTTCCTCATGTCATGTACGATCAGAAACGTACCACATTATCATGATATATTGTTTTGCAGATCTAACGATAATAACGATTTGGCACAATGCTGTTAACTGTTAGATAACAGCTAACATTAAAACTTACTGAAAACATGAAGAAAGGTAAATCATTCTTCTGACCATCACAACAAATAACATATTTTGAAGAATGTAACTGTTTTTTGTGTGTCCATAAACTGAAACTCAAAGGGTTTCAATGTCTTGTTTTGTTTCATAGAAGACAGAAAAACATACAGGTTTGGAACAACTTGAGGGTGAGTAAATTATGACAGAAGTTTCATTTTAATTATTTTAAACCATTTTTTTAAGCGTAGGACCACACCAAGCATCACACTGCAAATATAGCACGTTGAAATATAGTAGTCCACAGGTGTCACAACAATGTATTTGCTTCATGAAGATGTAAAAGATTGGATTAGATAGATTGCATGAAACTATCTTTACCTTCTGGTCATGTACTGAGCTTTGGTTGTTTAATACTGTTACATAATTTAATCAGCAGGGCAGGAGTGAGAACAGCAAGATCACTGTGTTCTACCACACCACACACACACACACAAAAAACATCATTTTATAATTAATACATTCTATAAAACAGTTTGTTCTTTGTGTTTGGCCATTTTTTGTTCACAGGCCTCAAAAAAGCCAAGTCAGAGACTCAGATGTTGGTTGCAGTTTAACTTTACGATCACCAGGTGTCTCTGTTTCGTCTTTTGTACATTCAGACTAAAAATACTGCAGATATCTTTTTCTAATCCATAAATGAATCCCGCTGTGTCTGTTGTATAAGAGGGGGTGTAGGAGTCTGGGATTACACTGTCTGGATTGAGTCTAGTAGGGTATGATATAATCTCCATGCGAAACAAGCACAGTGATGGTTTAACAAAGACACATGTTTTCACGTTATGATCCAGGTGCATCCGTATTTTAAGCTTTCATTGACAGTTGTTCTGTATTGACCTAATATGTCAGAGAAACAAGTGTGCTGCCATCTTTAGGATTTTGTCTTTAGACTTCTGTTTTTGTGGTAGCTCTACTGTTGAAGAGTAATTATGATTTACTTACTGTAGAGTTAACAAAAGTTATCAGCATTGTAATGTTCGAAGCGGATGTCATAACAAATGTCAATAGACCGGGAAGATTTTTAAAATGAGCGTTTTATTCATAAATCCGTATGACAGTAAAAATATACAAACCGGATGAGAGAAGACAACGAGCACAGTGCTGAAAAGGGGCAGGGCTACATTAAAGGGGTCATATGATGTTGCTAAAAATAACATTATTTTGTGTATTTGGTGTAATGCAATGTGTTTATGCGGTTTAAGGTAAAAAAAAACACATTATTTTCCACATAATGTACATTATTGTTTCTCCTCTATGCCCCGCCTTTCTGAAACGCGTCGATTTTTACAAAGCTCATCGGTCTGAAAAGCGAGGTGTGCTCTGATTGGCCAGCTATCCAGTGCATTGTGATTGGCTGAATACCTCAAGCGGGTGACGTAAATGTTACGCCCCTTACCATACTGTGATGCCATCTCCCGGCGCGACGAGACAAAACCAGTAAAACCTATTATAAACAAGGCATTTGTTGCATCCAGTGGGGACATAATGACTTATACTGTCTTTTTACGCGTTGCATTGCATCGCGCCGCGTAAACATAAAACAATGTCTGCATTTGTGATCGGAGAAACGACAAACAACAAGCGCTACTCGCGTTTGAATCATCAGTGGCAAATCCTTTAAATGAAAACGTACTTACAGTCGGTGAGTCAGAACAGCCGGCATTGTAGTCTACTCTACCAGGATCAGGAAACAGTCCTCCATAAAATGCGCTGCACACATCTGAATATTTGGGTGGAACTGTTCTGCAACAGTGTTGTAAATACAACTTAACCACTGATTTCTAGTCGTGTCCTCCTTTGGAAG